ATGATTAATTTTTTCGAAATATAATAAATTATATTATGAAAATTTTATTTCAAATAATTGAATTCTTGTGGAAAACTTTATTTGTAAAAATAATTGAATTTTTCGATTAATTAATAATCTAAAATAGTAATAATAAAATAATTGAAATACTTCGATGAGTTTTATTATTTATGAAAATACTTGAACTCTTGGTTAGAATTTTATCAATAATTTTTTTTAAAAATTGAATTTCCATAAAAAATGTTATTATTAGTGAAAGTATTTGAATTATTGTGAAGTATTGTATAAAAATTTTCTTAAATTTCTTTTTAGAAATTTTTTAAAAAAAAGATATTCTGAAATAATTGAATTCCTGTGGAAATTTTATTATTTATGAAAATAATTGAATTATTTGTGAAAAATTTTATTAAAATGTTTAAAAAGAATTGAATTTCTGTAAAAAATTTTATTTTTAAAAATAATTGAATTCTTGCTTACAATTTTATGAAAAAATGTTTTAAAAAATTAATTTTCCATGAAAAATGTTATTATTAGTATAAGTAATTGAATTATTGTGAAGAATTGTATAAATAAATTTGATTTAATAATTGATTTTTCGAAATTTTTTTGTAAATTCTATTCTAAAATAATTGAATTCCTGTGAAAATTTTATTATTTATGAAAATAATTGAATTGTGGATGAATTTTATTATTTTCTTTTTTAAATAATTGAATTATTTTGCAAAATTTAATGAAAATACTAGAGATGTATTGAAATTGAAAATTATTGAATTTCAAATATTTTTTGAAAATAATTGAATCGTTTTAAAGAATTTGATGATCATTTTTGAGAACAGTTTTTCAATTCTAAAAAAAAACAGAAATAGTAGCTTTTAGTGGCTGAAGTCTAAAAAAAGTACCCAAATAGTAGCATAACGTAAAAAAAGTAGTAAATATAGTAGGTTTTAGTAGATGAGTGCGAAGCCTAAATGTCTAAATTCATTTGTTGGGCCTAATTGGCTTAGCGATTAGGCCAAACAAATAAATTTAAACATTTTTTATTTATAATTTATGGTTTCCAAAAATATTGAATTATTTTTTTAGAAAATTTGAAATTACAAATTTTATGTTTTTTGGTTTGAATAAAACATTTCTTCAGGTGTATATCATCAATATGTCTAGAATGAATAATAAATAATCTCGCGTAAAGTTGTATATAGAAACTTATAGAACTAGCTCCAAACCAACTTAAACGAATTAACCGTATGAATGCAATTGTAAACTATCATTTAATTCTTAGTGGGAGTTAGACTGTATATATAAGGTATCCAAGTCTCTTCACAAGAGACTGATTTATTCACTCCTCGAAATTCAAGCAGTTTCTACAAGTTTTCGACTCTATAACACTCACATGTAGCGTCATCGAAGTTAAATTTTAAAACCCTCTTGTCATCCTCTATAAAGAGATGTAAATTATTCAACAATACTCCTATATACCAGGATTCAGTAAATAAAATTATTCCTCCTTTTCATCTGTTTTCATTGATCTTCAAGTTACTATATTTATATCTTAGGGTTGCCACAAAAATTTCATTTTATTTTTCCTTAAACTTTTCCCCTCATTTCCAAACAGAATATAACTTTTGACTTTTTTTCTGACTCAAAAGAATATTTTAATTCACTCTAAAAATAATAAGATACCAATAAAAAAAAATGTTTGCAAATACATTTATTTTTTATTTTAAATATTAAAATTATTCGGAACATCGCCATTTTTTAAAAATAAATATTTAAAATAAAAATAAAAATAATTGAAAATTAAATTAGATCTTTTCAATATTTTTAAAGGCTGCTGGACAACAAAATTCAGAATTTTCTTATGAATTCTAGAAATTTAATATTTTTCCAATACTTTTGATAAAATTCTCTGACATTTCCCTGACTTTACCCTGAATTCCCTGACCTGTGGCAAACCTGTACAAGTTTAAAGAAATAAAAAATAACAAACTTTACGAGTTCTCAAAAGAACAAGTCAAATGTTTTATTTAAAAACAAGAAAAGAGAAGAAAATATAAAAAATCTCGTGTATCTCTTTTGCAAGAATTACATTTCCACAAGGGAAACGTTTGTTCCTCTTTCAAAAGATTACAATGCTTGTGGTTCACTGAATTAAAAGTATTGTAAAGCAACTTTCTGTTGCAGATGTTGTGCTTTAAACAATTATACTTTTAAGATTATTTTTATAAACAACAACAATAATAAAAATAATAAAAATAATAATAATAATAATAATAATAATAATAAAAATAATAATTATTATTATCAGATATATCATTTCAAAATTTGAAATCAAATATCGAAATCCCTCTAATGCTGAGAAATGATAATTATACGGTAGTAGTAGTAGTAATAATAATAATAATAATAATACAATTGAAATTATTTTTTAATTAAATATACGAAATTTTGATGAATTTAATTCAAGATCCGTATATTTTTAAATGGAAATGAAATTCCCACTTGCTTTTCACGTTAGTAGAATTATATAATGGAGCATTTTATGCTGTCAGTCATTGTAGACAAAAAAAAATCGTTTCACAGAGCAGTAACGGAACGGCTTTGGATCGATTGTTAAGCGTTATGTTGGTCCATTGAGAGTACTGCAAACGAGAGTAAATATCTTGATAGTGTCATGTTAATTCATCAACGTGATATCTCGTGAATTTTGTATCTGATTTTTTACCTATCATTTATCACTTTTTTTGTATTTATCTTCTATATCTATATATATTTAACATTCTTTTATATTCCTCATTCTATATTGTTAATGGTTTTTTTTAGAGCAGAGGAAGTTTATGAATTAATCAAAGCAATATAAAATTTGAAATTTTGATTAAATCTTTATGATATAATTATACAGTGGATGTTCCAGTTTCTATCAGTGTTCTTAGTATTTGTCCAATTTTTAAAGATTTCTTTTCTATAATGATGTGAATTAATTTTTTTTCAGTGGGTTCATACTGTTGTTTTGAAGTAAAATTTTCTTTTTAATCCAAAAATAAATAGCCAGTCAAAAAAATATATTTGAATTAAACATATTTTACAATTGAATTAAACGTAATAATTTTTATTGAATCGAAAAAAAAAATTATTATTTTTTTATCGAACTTATTATATATTCAAGATGGTCACATTTCAGTTTATCAATTTCCCTGACATTTCCCTGTCAATTTATTGAAGTTAAAATTATTTTCCCTGACAAAATTCTTTTTACAGAAAAATATGAAAGTTTATGGATAATGAGTAAAATTTATAAATTTTAATTATTTCTAAAAATTCTAATTATAACCCTACGTAAATTCAATTAATTTCTACAATTTTCAACAAAACTTCATTTCTAAACCAATTATTTTAAATAATTTTTCAAAAGTTCTTCTAGAATTCAATTATTTAAATACAAAAAACTTAAAAATATTTTAATGTAATTTTTCGAAAATAATTGAATTTCTTATAAGAATTTTTGTATAATTTAAAAATACTAATTAATTTTGTTATGAATTTAAATTAAAAATATTTAACATAATTTTTTTCTCTAAAATGTTAAAAATAATTCTAAAATATTATTTTTTGTGTGTATTTGAATTTTCAGAAATATGTAATTGAAAATATTGAAAATATTGAATTTTAAAAAATTAGAAGCTAATTTTCATTAATTTTCATTTTCAAATTTTACATTTAAAGATTTTTTATTAATATTTTTGATAATTTAATTATTTTCAAAATTTTCAATTAAAATTCTTCAAAAGTTGCGAAAAAATTTAATTCTTGCGAAGAATTTCATGAAAAAAATTGAATTCTTATAAAGATTTTTACAAAAAAATTTTTAAATAATTGAATTCTGTTTGGAAATTTTATGAAAATAGTAGATATTGAAAATTATTAAATTGCAAAAAGTTTTTAAAAATAATTAAATTTTCAAAGAATTCTATTAAAATTTTTCAGAATAATTGAATGTCTTCGGGGTATTTTATTAATTTTTTTTTGAAAATAATTGAATTCCTAAAAAGCATTTTATTATTTATAAAAATAATTGAATTCTTGTGAACGATTTTATTAGAATATTTAAAATAATTGAATTTCCAAGAAAAAATTTATTATAATTAAAAATAATTGAATTCTTGTTATGAATATTGTTATTTATGAAAATAATTGAATTTTGAAAAAAATTTTATTTAAATGCCTCAAAATACTTGAATTTTCAGGAATATTTTTGTTATTTATCGAAATAATTGAATTCTTTCAAAGAATTATTTATGTAAATAATTGAATTCTTTCAAAAAATTTTATTAACATCTAAAAGAATAATTAAATTATTTCAAAAAAATTTCATTAAAATTGTATTTAAAATAATTGATTTCGTTCGAACAATTGTACTAAAATATTTGAAAATAATTAAATTTCTGTTAAAAATTCTAATATTTTTGTAAATAATTGAATTCTTCCAAGAATTAAAAAAAAAACATTTTTTTAAATAATTGATTTTTTCGAAGAATTGAAATCAAATTTATGAAAATTATTACATTTTTTGAGCAATTCCTGTAAAATTGTATTAAAAATAATTAAAATTCTGTGACGAATTTTATTCTTTATGAATATAATGGAATAGTTGATAAGAATTTTATTAAAATTTTCAAAAATAATTGAATTATTGTGAAAAGTTTTATTATTTATAAAAATAATTAAATTATTGCGAAAAAGTTAATTTTCATTAATTTTTATTTTTCAATTTTACATTTAAAGAGTTTTCATTAATATTTTTGGTAATTCAATTATTTTCAAAATTTGCAATTTAAATTATTTAAAAGTTGATTTTCCCAAATTGTAACAAATTACTTGAAAAAGATTAATTATTTTTGATTAAATTTGAGAAAATTTTAATTATTCAAAAAGATGTTTATTAAAGATATATTTGTAAAATTTAATTATATCTTAAAAAAGTGATTCAAAAATAATTTTTTAAGGTTCTGCCCTGCTTTTCAAGAACATTAGGCAAGAACATTACAACAGAAGGTTGTAGAAATGGAAATGACACCGTCCAAGAAAGCTTGCTTCCCCTACCAACATCGAAGCAGAATAACACAAGCTGTGAGATGATTTCCTTGGAGCCAGTAAACAGTGAAGCTTCCAAGGATCAACAAAATTAACCGTCCAGGGAATCAAAACACACCTCGAAAGAATCTTAACTTTAACACGAAAGTTGATCAATACTAGGTGAGTGCTTTAAGCAACTTTTTTTTCTTTATTCCTTTCCTCTAATTTCTTTCGAATTCCCTCTAATATTAGAGTAAAAGTTCACTTTTTACTTTGCAGTCGAAAAAAAAAATTCTATTGAATTCAACTACTCTCTGAATTTGAACTAGTAAAAATTTTCAATAATATGAATTTGACTTTTTGCTTTCCAATTAGTAAATTTTACTAATTAAATACAAGATTGCCATAAAAATTTAATTTCGTTTTTCCCTGATTTCCAGATATAAATTTTCACTTTTTCCCTGACTCCAAAAAAATATTCTGCGATTCACTCTAAAAACATTATAAACTTCACCAAAGTGTTTATAAGGTATGAAAAAGATTGAATGAAAAAGATTCATTTTAAAAGAAGAAATTCCTTATCTTTTGAAAGAAAAACCGTTCTTTATGCGCATAAAATAATTAATCTACATCAATATAATTTTTTTTCCATAAGAAGAATAGTGTGTGCTTTGTATAAATGAAAACAGAATCTGATCACTGACATTCTACAATGAGAAAAAAGAAAATATGATATCAATTTTTTTAAGTGTAAAAATTGATAAATTTTTCAAATACGAGAAAAATGATAAAGTCAAAGGAAACCTTTTCAATTCTTCTACCTGCCATTCTCTGTTCTTCTAAAATTCACTTCACTGAATTTCTAACATAAGTGTCATTCAAAAAAGTAAAACGTTTTTACATATATACATGCTCCTTTTATTCCCTTTGTTATAAGTATACAGAAAAATAACTTTCCGAATTTGAAAATAATATTTTTTTTAATAATTTTAATTAAAAATTCGGAAAATAATTGAATTAAACAAAGAATTTATTCAATTTTTTAAAATAATTGTGTCTGTTCATAATTATAATTGAAAATTTGATTAATTCAATTTTATTAAAATGTATTGATACTAATTGAATTTCTGCAAAGAATTTTGCTATTTATAAAAATAATTGAATCCTTCCAAAGAATGTTATTATTTATGAAAATAATTGAAATTTTAAGGAGAATTTAAAAAAATTATGAAACATAATTGAATTTCGGCGAAGAATTCTATTACTTTTGAAAATAATTGAATTGTTTTTTAGAATTTTATGTAAATTTATGAAAATAATTGAATTCTTATGAAGAATTTTTTTTTATATAATATTCAAAAGAATTTAGTAAATCTGAAGAATTTTGCTCTTTATGGAAATAATTGAATTCTTGAGAAGAATTTTTTTACAGTTTCTAGAAATAATTGAAATTTAATAACATTTTTACGAATAATTCCATTTTTCGAGGAATTCGATTAAAATTGTATGAAAAATAATTAAAATTCTGCAATGAGTTTTACTTTTTATGAAAATAATTGAATAATATATTGCGAAGAAATTTTTAAAAATAAAATTATAATTACAGTGACAAACTTCCCTTGATTATTTTCGGAAAATTTAAATAAAATTCTTTAAAATGCATAATCACAGAATTAAATTATTTTTAATAGAATGTAAAGAAATTTCAAAAATTTTCAATTATTTGTTTATTAAAATTCAATTATCTTGAAACAATGGAATTGAAAAATTTCAAAAATCTTATTTTTCAGAATTTTCAAAAAAACTTTGCGAAAATTCAATTTTATTAAAAAATTTTAAGTGTGTATCCTTTTTTTAAATTAAGTAATAAAAATTTTAATTATTAATCTTAAGAAAATAATTTATTTACTAACTATATTTGAATTAGTGACTGATTTTTTACTATCAAATTAATTATTTTTAACTATGTAATTTAAATTTAAAGAACAGTATAAATATCTATACCTTAAAATTGAAATAAAAAGCGATTTTTTAAAAAAAGATTGCGAATAATTTTTAATTAAATTACATTTGAAAAGATTAATTTTTATTACCAATTTACAAACAAAATTTTGCTTTTCAGTTGCAAAAATTTGCAAATATCGAAAATTGACTCTACGATATAAAAATACCAATCTAAAGTATATATAAAACCCAATTATTTTGTACATTACTTATTGATGTTGACATTTGCATCAAATTTATGCTTTTAATGGAATAGAAGTAAACTCTCTGAATTTTATAAATATAAATTTGAAAAATAAAACAACCGTTTCAGCAAATAATTCACATTCATATCTAGGTAGAATTAAAGGATGTAATAGTTTTATATTCGTATATATTTATTGCCATATACCTCACAACAAAAATTATCTCTTCAAATATAACGAATAGTCATATTTACTGCTACTTCATAAAAAAAATTACACTTTACGTGAAATTAAAATAAAGTAGGTCACTTGTCGACCAGAATAGAGGAAGCATGTAGTATAACTTTAATTTGAATATACTCCCAAAATTGAACAGCTTTTTCCTACACTGAAATTGCAAATGCATAAAATTATTCCATTTTTTTATTACTCCTCTCTGAATGTGATTGCAGATACGTGTGTGGGTGGAAAATTGCATGAATGTAAAAGTAAATAAAAAAAAAATCTGATAAAATATTTGAAGAAACTGAATTAATTCATTTAATTGAAAAAATCAATCCTCCTATCTATGTGTTGAAAATTGAAATTTTAATATTTCAAATGTAAATCAAAAATGAAGTAATGAAAAGAGAAGAAATGAACGTTTTTATTGAATATTCTTGAAAAAAAGAAGAATGAATACTATAATTAATAATTAACTTTAGTTACATATTTACACTGAGAAAATAATATATTTGAAGCAGTGTAGTTAAATAACACAATGTACAACAATTTAAGAGAAATCGATTATTTTACGTGAAAAAATGAATATTAATTAAAGGGGCTTTTTCAATTAATATTTCAATGGCTCGAGCAAAAAGAAGTTATTATCAATATTTGGATAAACCTTTATAATCTGACATAAATGAGATTCATTTGTGGAGAAACACACTGCCATCCTCTCTAATACCTCCGGCTAGAGAATTAATCGTGAATCTTGGATGATATATTTTAGAATGAATAGAGATAATTACTTTGATGGGCCCATTATGAATACAATTAGGGTGGATGTCACCGAAAAGTCGTTATGCACGTTTATCAATCTCTTAGTATTATTATTATTATTATTATCATTATTATTATTATTATCATTATTAATCCTTTGCTTAAAACTCTGAGGAATTTAGACAATAATCCAAATATATCTTTATCGATTTATTTCAAATATACACCCAGAGAAAAATTTTATTTAAACCAAATATATTTCTCTCTAAATCTAAATTAGTAAAAAATTTTACTAATTTGAATTAGTGACTGACTTTTTGCTTTTGAATTAGTAAATTTTGCTAATAAATTATTAGAAATAACTATTTATTACTAAAATTTACTAATACAAAAGCAAAAAGTCAGTCACTAATTCAAATTAGTAAACATTTTTACTAATTCAAATTTAGAGTTTATTTGAGTTAAATAAACGTATATTTGTCTCAGAACCAACTAGACTTTTTATTTGTTTCAAATAAAAATTTTATTTGACACAATTAAAAAATATATTTGAGCCAGAAATAATTTTATTTGATACAAATAAGAAATATATTTGAGCTAAAAATAATTTTATTTAAAGCAAATGAAATTTATTTGAAACAAATAAAAAGTCTAGTTAGTTCTGAGTCAAATTTATCTTTTCTCTGAGTGTAAATTTTATTTATTATAATAAATAAGATTGAAATAAATAAATATGATTCTAAAGTTTTAAATGTGTAAATGAACGGAATTTATTTATATTCTTCAAATTAAATTTTTATTACACCCAGAAAGAAGTTTTTGTTGATTAAAAGTAATCATTTGCTTTGTCTTATTTCTTCGTTTCAAAATTAATTTTTCTGTGATTCGAAGAAAATTTATTTGATTTTCAGAAAATTTATTTGTTTCAAAAACAATTTATTTGCATCAAAGAAATTTTTCTTTTTAAATTGAAGAATTATTTCTCTAACTTTCTTTGATCATTCATAAAATTTCTTGGATTTAAATATAATATTTATACGAATATATAATTATTCACATTTCAGTATATATTTACTTACGAAATAATCTCGACAGGACAAATATGTTGTTCAACTCACCTGAAACAAAAAAAAAAGAAATCACTTTAATATTGAAATTATTATCAAAAAAATTAAAAATTAAAACAAATTAAATTAAATTGTATATAATGATTCCATTAATAAAGTTAAATCTCAATTTATAAATAATAATAAATCATTTTCACTACTTTATTTCGAAAGGTAAATATTTGTCTGACTAAAGTGGACTTTTACTACTGAAATTAATTTTCACAATTCAAATAACAAAATTTACATAGATAATAATATCAAAAGCAACGATGAGAAATTTAAAAAAAGGCAAATATTTGTCTGACTAAAGTGGACTTTTACTACTGAAATTGATTTTCACAATTCAAATAACAAAATTTACATAGATAATATCAAAAGCAACGATGTGACACTGAGAAAATTTTTTTTAATCCAAAAATAAGTATCCAACCAAAAAAAAATATGTTTGAATTAAACATATTTTATAAATTGAATTAAACTTAAATTTTATTGAATCAAATTTATTATGTGTTGAATCAAAATTATTATATTTAATTCAAAAATAATTTTTGATTGACATAAGAAAAGATATATATTTGGTTGTTCATAACAAAGATAATTATGTTTGATTTAAACCTATTATTTTCTCAGTGTACACTTCTCGTTGTAGTCAGAGTAAATTTTAGTCAGACGGATTTTTTTCCCATTTTGTACTATTTAGAAATTCAGAAGTATAAAAATAAATATATTCGAATATTTTCTAAGTGGTAAAAGACACTTACAGTCAGACAATTGTTTTGAACTTCTCGCAGTAGTCAAAGTAAATTTTAGTCAGACGGATTTTTTCCCATTTTGTACTATTTAGAAATTCAGAAGTATAAAAATAAATTCATTCGTATATTTTTATGAGTGGTAAAGG